AGTGAATAAGATTGGAATTCCTTGTGTTTGGCAGGAAGGAAAAAGTTTGAGAGCATTTGATTCATTTTGGAACTGTAGAGAGATATTTTTATGTCAGCCTACCCTAATAACCTACTCTACCCAACTGGCTGGCTAGCCCCCTGTGATTAGATCGATCATATGAACCACGGCAAGTACAAAATAAAAATTGAGGAGAAGGGGATTGAAGTCTTTCCATTTTGCATTTTTATTTATTATTTATCTGTTTTAATTCATCTTTCTTATCTATTTTTCATATAAATATATATATATTTCATATTTTTAGATTTATTATATTGTTTGTGAAGCGAATTTTTTGAATTTTTATAATGAAAATTGGGTCTTAATCAATCACATTAAACTCCAATTTCACAAAAATTAGAATTGTCTTTGTTTTACGCAAAACTAAGAAAGTTCTTTTTAAGTTTTAAAAGTAGAAATTTTTATTTTTTAAGTAATATTTAAAATTTTTGTTTTTTTACTTATATTTCAAAACATGCTTTAAAAGAAAAATCAAAATATTTACTCAAAAAATTAAGCACGGCCTTTTAGCGGTGCTCAGTTTTAAAGAAAATGTTTTAAAAACAACTTTTGAAATAAAGTTTGAGATTAATCATTATATTTTAAAAATAAATTTGATATGTTCTAAAAGTATACTTCTAAAAGAATATAATTTTATAATTTTGCCTTCTAAAATACCACTCTTATATATACCAAAAGAATAATATTTCATTTTATGAAATTATTTTTAAAACATTATATTTTAAAGATATACTTTAACTTTAAAAATATCGAGAATTTTTAGGTTTTAAAAGCAAAAATCTATATTTTTTGAGTAATACTTTTAAAACCTTGTTTCTTTACTTGTGTTTTAAAACATGTTTTAAAAGTAAAACATGAACATTTACTCCAAAAATTGAGCACAGCTTTTTTGCTGTACTCAATCTTAAAGAAAATGTTTTAAAAACAATTTTTGAAGCAAAAGTCTAAAATAAAGCTTAAAAAGAGTCATGCTTGTTTTTTGCCTCTTTCAAAAGAACATAATCCCATAATTTTACTTTTTAAAATGCCCTAATAACATGTTAAAAAAACAATGTTTCATTTATAAATTTGATATATTTCAAAAGTATACTTCTAAAAGAATATAATCCCATAATTTTGCATTCTAAAATACCACTCTTAAGCATACCAAAAGAATAATCTTTCATTTTATGAAATTATGTTTAAAACATTATATTTTAAAAATATATTTTAATTTTAAAAATATCTAAATTTGAGAGGGGGTGTTTTTTTTAGGTTTTAAAAGCAAAAATCTATATTTTTTGAGTAACACTTTTAAAACCTTGTTTCTTTACATGTGTTTTAAAACATGTTTTAAAAGCAAAACATGAGCATTTGCTCCAAAAATTGAGCACGATATTTTGGTTGTACTCATATTAAGGAAAATATTTTTAAAAACAATTTTTGAAGCAAAAGTCTAAAATAAGGCAAAAAGAGTCATGCTTATATTCTGCCTCTTTCAAAATATCATAATCTCATAATTTTGCATTTTCAAATACTATTCTTAAACATGTTAAAAAAATAATGTTTCATTTTATGAAATTATTTTTAAAATATTATATTTTAAATACATACTTCAACTTTATAGATATCTAAATTTAAGATTGAAAACGAACGTGTTGAGAATATAAATCCAAAAAAAAGGATCCTATTCTTAAAAAATAAAATTAAAAGTTAATTTTGTAAAAAAAATTAATATGAAAGATATTTTAAAAAAAAGTTTAAAAAACACATCCCTTCTTTTGGGCTTTCCCCTTTAACTAATGGTTAACTAATAGTTTTGTTAAAAAAAATAATGACAACCCAATTTTATCTAATTAAAAATTAAATTATTATTTAATTTACTTAAAAATTATTTTTATATTTTTATTTTTAATTTTGAAGCTAAAAATCTAAAAAAACTCAAATCTAATTTTGATAATATAATTTTTCTTTCTGTTTTTAAATTTTTTTAAAATTTTTATTTCATGACTTTTTAGCGTTATTTTAACATTTGAAATAAAGCCAAAAAAATTATAAAATGAAAATTTTTGAAATAATTAAAAATTGGTAAAATTAAATTATGAAAAATTTGATTTTTTTTTTATTTTTAAAATTTTTTATTTTAAAATAAAAATCATCAATATAGAAAAATTTAAATAAATCAAATAAAATTTTTATTTTTAATCAAATAAATGACCTAGGCAAATGAAATTTAACAAAACTATTTTATAACTATTAATATTAATTTTTAATTAAAAATAAAATGTTTTTATAATAAAAATATGAGTAATTATTTTAAAAAACGCAGAAGAATAGGAATATTTTTATTTTCCCTGAAAAGAAATGGATGAGTACGGGGGAAGAAGAGGGATTCCAAATCTTTGAAAGGGAACCATGTGAAGAAGCAAGGCCAAGCAAGGCATGCATGCGTCAATATGTCAATCAATCATACGGATGTTTACAGACAGTCGTTTAGGTTTTGCCAGTTTCCAATCTCATCGCAGCTGCATAAAATAACCTAGTCTCCGAATTTATGATTGTGTCCTTGTCCCGAAATCCTTGTTTTCAGAGATTCAATTGATTAGCCTTTTCGATGCGAACACTGTTTGAAATGAAATGCAATGACACACACACACACACACACACACTCTTAAGAGATTCGGACTGCGTGTATATGTAACAATTGTACCAACATTGGTAGGGAAATACAGTTCTGAAATACGTAGACACAATTTGACCTCCTAACTGTTTACTAGTTTAGTTGTACTGGGTTATGAGTCGGGTCAAAATCCAAAGAGGACGAGAGACCCACAACTGGGAGACGAAATTAAGAGGAAATTCAGCTCGAGCACATGTAGAGTTGATAAACGTTCAGATTTATGTTAAATTAAACATATTGAAATTTGAATTTAATTAATAATTTTTATATTTAAATCTAATTCAAAATTTTATAATATACATGTTTATAAAATTGTATTTAAATACAATCTATAATCTAAAATTTGATAAAAAATATAATTTAATAAAAAAATAATATTTTTTTATACTTAAATCTATTAACTTTATTTAATTAATTAGATTAGTGCCTAAATTTTCTAATTTTTTAATTTAGATCATATCATTTTAAATTTATCAATATTATCATATAATTATTAATTTTATTGAAAAATATTATTAAAATTTAGATTCAAAATTTTAAGGAATCAAATTTCTTAATTCTATATCTACTCACAAATTATAGATTACAACTATTTATAATTAAATTTAATTTATTAAATATTTTAATTAAATTTAAATATTAAATTTTAGATAAATTTAAATAAAATTTAAATAAGAATGTAATCTATTAACAATCTGACCGCACGGTTGAAAGAAAATTATTGTCTTTGAATCCAGAAGAAGTTGGTACGAGTCGTTCTGTGGACTTTCAACGCGGGAATGAGTGGGAGTTCTGTGAACTTTAAAGATGTCAGAAGAAGCATCAGCTGGGGGGAGGGGGGGGGGGGGGGGGAGAGAATATTGTGATGACAGGTTTTGATAACATTGAGAATAATTAGATTATTGCAGAAATGTAATATTAAGATATGATAAATGAGATTAGATATAAAATCATATGAAAGAATTAATCACAAAAATGAGAAATAAGTATAATTTATTTGATGATATCTGCAATCAATAACCAAATAAAATAAGAGAATATGTTTCAAATTTTAATTTTTTGAATAAACAACAGTGAGTTTTGTTAATTTTAGAAAAGATTCTATGATTAAATTTTTTTCATCCGATATGGGTATCATTAATCCTATTTAAGAGAGATCTTAATCTCTCGAATTATTATCATCAAACACTTGACAATTAAAACACCAGAGTTAATCTAACTAATTGTGTATTTATAAAATTTATTTAAACTTCAAAGGTATCCAAAGGAAAAAAGAAATACAAGGTAGTCCAAAATTTAATCGTTAAGCTTGAATCAAACCCCAACTAGCTAGTTCAATCCTACTCTTCAATCCATTGTCAAACAAGCCCCATAGGGGAGCTGAAAAGACTTGTAGGCGCACTGCTAACAAGCCCCATGGGGCAGCTGAAAAGACGATTACATGCTCTGCTCTAGAGAGGTTGCACGTGCCCGAGGAATCAACACACTGGGAACCTTTTTCTGACTTAAGGAGGGATTTGGACCAGCCACGTCGGCCAGCCTTCTTTCCATTAAAATAGAATTCAACATTTAAAAATTTATAACCTATTTTCATTATCCCATGTAATTAGATATAAAATTTATTTCCTTTTCTCACGAACTCACCTTTTTAAAATTTATTGTTTTTTAAAATCATGTTTCTTGAACTCAATTTCTCTAAATACCCTTTCTATTAAAGGTCACATGATCTCATTGACGATAAATATCAACCTCACGGTAATCCTGAAACACGAGGAACCTCTCACCATGTGACCCGTAGCCGATTAATGCAGCTCTCTCCTTTCCCAAACATTATTTCATTGACATATCTCTGAAAGTGTCTCCGTCGATCTGAGCCCTTTGACCAGCATTTTCTTTGAACCAGGCTTGCTAAGCGCCCACACCAATATTGATGATCTTGCCCACGCCTTTGGTGCTAATTGTTGGGACTTGATCCTAGCCATTGATGGGCCACAATCAAATAGAGAGTTCGTGCAAAAACCAGTAAATTACCGAGAACTTTCTTATCACTGAATCAGCATTTCGGGGCGTCAATTTACAGGTCAGCACAAAGCAGCAAGAAACAACTAAACTACATGGGTTTGCAAAACCAAGAAAGGTTGAGGGTGGTGCTTAGGAGCGACAAGAAATTAGGCCTGTCGTCTATGCCAATTTTCTTGCAAATACCCAAAACATCCACAAAAAGTGGAAAATCAAAAGGAAAAAAAATGCCAAAACACGATGCCATCTAAAAGAACTGTCCCTAATCGCTTCTTCTCTTGCTGCCAGAATGAGTATTCTGTTCCGTGAGGATTTTTAGGACATTGACCAATGCCCGTAAACGATCCCACACATTTAATCCATAGAGCGCTTCTACAAGCGATTCCTGCAACTCGAATCCATTATCTGCAACAGGATACTGGAAACAGAAGAGAGGCAGATACATTCAGTTTCAGATGTAAGAAAATCTTCACAGGTCAAAAGCAAGATCAAAAGCTGACCTGAATAGGTTTTGGTATCTTTGTTTTGATAAGTGGCCACCACCTATCCTCAACGACTGATTTCACAAGACAGCAAGCTCGTAGTCCTTCTATGCCGGCAAATCTACCAAACCCGCTCTCTTTCACCCCACCAAATGGCAGGGACTGGTAAAAACATCAAGCCTCAGTATGGACAACACATTTTACAAGGATTACAAAGAAATAAATGGCCAATGGTTTGACCCAGAACAGATGTCATTAACTGTAGGAAAGCTGCCAAATCAAAATTTCATGTCAAAATAGTAGATTGACTTCTTTTTAAGGATGAGATAAAAAATTATAACTTCTTTTTAAATGGAACAGTTCTATTTCTAATTTGTAGCTTCTTTTAGTAAAAACTTTTTATTTTCTCTAAAGTGAAGATTTACTTCCATTTGCATAGCTGAACTGACAACAATTAATCATTTGTAAGATGGTCAGTAACCTATAAGCTAAGCAGACATCCACTCAACAAAATCTTCAAGACCTTTTCATTTGTCTTCAAATCACTGCCTACTTTACATAATGTTATGTGGTAAAGATCCGGGATTGAAATATTATTTGAAAAGGAGAAGCCAGATCTTTTCTCATTGTCATAAGCGCAGGTATCTAAAACAGCAGTAATAACTACAGCCTGAAGAATAGGTTACCTGACACATGTAAGTTGATGCAAAATCATTGATCGCAGCAACTCCACAGTGTATCTGAGCAGCTATCTGCTTGGCACGCTGCTGGCTACCAGAAAATACAGCACATCCAAGCCCATACTTAGAATCATTTGCAAGCTTGACAGCCTCTTCATCTGAATTGAATTTCATTATTGGCATAATTGGTCCAAAAGCCTGCAGATCAATAAATTATGCTCACTTAGCATAGATTAACGAGTTGGTGATAAGCTAAGAGGGCATTTCTCATTCCCAGTAATTTAATTTTTTGCATTTGTTTCATGAAGTAGACAATGCATTACTGAGAACAGAGACATGCAGAACATTGGCTCATAATTCAAAAGATTAAATAGCTTAAATGATATTGACTGCATATGACTCTCTTGGACTAAAATAGTCAATCGAAATTGCATTTAATTGATTCCCAAAAAGCTGCCACTAAAAAAATTAAAAGTTGTTTGTGTATCAATTCTACCTCTTCTTGGAGCAGCTTCATAGAGTGATTCACATTCACAATTACAGTAGGAGGAAAGTACTGATCAACAGCACCTGCACCGATGTTGCCAACACTTCCCCGACCTATAATTTCAGCGCCTTTATCTTGGGCATCATTTACAAGGCTTTGAAGTCTTTCTGAATGCTCTTGCATGCATATGGCCCCCATATCATACTTTCCAGCCAGTGGAGGTCCCTGCATAAGATTAGCTAGATATTAGGTACATGCAAGTAGACTGATGAAGTTCAACCCAGCAGCATCTTCATTTATAATAAGGTATAAAGTGCAAAACATTCTCCAGAATTCTAATAGCATGCATCAAATAAACCGACTGAAGTAGCTTAAGGGCATTGAGTAACAACCAGCAGGCTCAGAATTTGATGACAGCTTTACAAAATAAAATCCTACACACAGCATCAGATATCTGGATCCATCATGTCAATCATCCAAAGTGGATATGTAAGTAATTCTACTCTCGCATGGAAAATTAAATGCAAACCATGTCGGAGAGTTTAAGTTTATAAGCTAGACAAACTTTCAACTACATGACCACAAATGATTTAAATGTAACAACTCTGGATTAAGCAAATTGTTAAGGTGAAAATTTATGAACTTGATAGTGGAAAAGGCAAAATTGGCAATCACTGGAAACATAAACCAATAAAGAAGAGGAGAGCTCAAATTTCTGGTTAGAAATGTGGCTACCAACAACTATGAAGCTGGTATTTCTATTGGGCTTTTGGAGAGCCAGGTTAAGAGTCATCTTGTTCAAAATATTCTATCATTCAAGATTTTCTCAACCTCTTCATGTTGCTTGGCTATGGCTTATCTTCAGCAGTTTGATAGAATGCATCATTGCCATTGATTTCACTGCTATACACACATACTTATATGGCTCAAGTTTGTTAAAGCAAATGCAGCAGACCAAAAAATAAATAAGAGAAAAGGAGGAAAAGAAAGAGAGGAACAAGCAGCCAGTATGAAGAGACATAGACCAAGCACTCTTAATTATCACAGCTTACACAAATATGTATCACGACAAATCAAAAAGTTGAATTCAGAACTCATTAGCACCCACCAAGAAGACTAATATAAAAAGAAGAAAGCAACATATATATTCTACATATCCAAGGTACTTACAGCAGTAACAGATTTTACAATTTTGACTACTTCATCAACAAATGAAGAATAAATTTTCTGATGAACATAAAATCTCTCAGCCCCAGCACAATTCTGTCCACTAGACTGAAGAGCAGCCCTTACAGCAATTTGAGCAACCTGTGGAGAAAATTTTTCTCTTAATAAACCAGGGCTTGCAAAAGTAGAGGTTAGACTTGAAGAAGTTCAAGGACATCAAATCAAAAAGTGAATATACAATCACAATTTTTCAATCCACTAAAACCCTCATACCACGAGGAAGGGTACATACATGGGGTACATCTACATCGTCACAAACAATAAACGGATCTTTCCCACCAAGCTCAAGCGTAACTGGAGTCAGTGTCTCAGCAGCATTTTTCATTATCTACAGCAGTAGCAAATTTGTAAATCAATGAACCAATGCACATAACAAATATAATTTCATGAATTCATTTTTACAGCAGACACAAGACCATTGTGAAATTTGCATAAATATTTTGGTAGCATCTCTGACAAATTAGTAACCACAAGCAACCTCTTTATGAAATAAGAGATCAAAGTAATTTGAATGTTGAGGTAGATAGATTTAGATTTGAAAAGTCGTGTCTGCTTCCTATCAAAATAACCCGCAGAAAGACTACATTTTGTGTTTGCCAAAATCAAATATCACATGCTGAAGGATTGCACTGACAATATAGATAAATTTGCAGATAGATTCCAACACAGAATTTGGATTTGACAGGCCAAGGAAACTGTTTTACCATTCTCCCTACACCAGGTGATCCAACAAATATGACTTTGTCAACTGAAGATACTAGTGCTTCACCTGTTTCAGAAAATCTGCCAGAGAAGTTCATTAAGTTAAACAAGGCAAACAAAACAAAAACCAAGAAGAGTGCAATGATGAGTGCATACCCTGTTATCACATCAACCAGATTTTCTGGAGCTCCTACAGCAGCAAGGGCAGCTTGGATTATTCGCATGTAGAAACAACCAGACCAACTCGAATGTTCTGAAACCTACACTCAGCAAATATTGTTTTCTATCAATAATCAAAGTAATCTGAAGATACCTTCTTCAAAGCATTCTTCTGAGTTTTAACATTAGATTCTAAGTCATTCAATAATAAAAAGAGATAAAAACTCTAACTAAGAGATCTAGCAAGGCAGTTAGATCTAAGTATTTAAGAAGTGCACCAGACAGAGGACAAGGGACATCCCTTAATAATCATTTATTTGGTAGAGAGCTATTATCTTTCTCCGCTCAAAGCACCCAAAACAAATAAATGTCAAACACATTCTGCAGTCATTAAATAGAAGTACCAAATCAACTATTACTTAAAAAGGAGAAGAAAATAAAGTGATTTACAGGTCTTGCTCACAGTGGCAAAATCAGACTTTAATTCTTTGTATCAGGTGTTAGTTAGATCATGACTCCCACATCTTGCTAAGATGAGTAATTGTTAAAGCAGAAATCAATGGTCAAGTTAATGTCTGAACGAACCAAAGAAAATACCTAAAGGAGCTTTGCCTGTTTACAAATACAGATACACCTCACTAGCTCTCATTAAGAAAAGTCTAATTTGAAGATGACTTTTGATAATTTGATCAAAGATCTATAAAAAAAACAAGAGGTTGCCTTTGAAGAAATTGGACATGCAAACTTGGCCACTAAAATACTGACAAAAGAAATTCACCCCTAACAATCATAATATCTTTGTGACATAATAAGTCTGTCATCAATATTATCAACTTTCTATGCCAGTGACATGCATAGGAAAGCTTATTCCTGCATAAAGTTGGAGATAAAATTTCCATAGCCAATTTTAGTTTCTACCCTATTGGATTTTCTTCCTTGGATAAGCAAAGGCCACTTCTAATTTATATGCCAATATGAAATGAAGCCTAAATTGATTGCACAACATCTGGAGGAGGTATTCCAAAACTGAAGGAGAAATTTTCATAGATCAACAAAACAACACACCTTTATCACAATGCCATTCCCTGAAAAGACAGCTGCTAGCATTGGATTAAATATATTATGGAAAGGATAGTTCCAAGAGACAATAGCACCAATCACACCATGCGGGTAGAATTCCACTTTAGCTACCTTGTGAAGCATTGATCTTCCACAGGATCTGGAATCCAACACAATAATGACAGCCATTTCTCTTTAGTATCTCAATAAACCATACTTTTTTAATAAAGACCACCAGAAAAGCAACGTAAACTATCATTTATAAGAAGAAATTGAAAAGAAAATAAAATGCCAAGTCAAGTTGAAAATGAATCTTTCTCCACATACATTTTTCTGCAACTAAGTGCAAAAAATGCATTCAACTACACTACAAAATGTAATGCTAATATTAACTTAAAAGTGGGGAACATGATTTTAGATGTTCTTATTGATACATCAAACAATCATAACAGTATATGTTCCTTGTATGTGCCGCTCAGATAGACTTAAACTTAAATGAACAAAATCATTAGGCTAAAAAAAAAAAAAAAAGCACATTGGTAAATCCATATCCCAACCAATAATTGAATAGAAGCAACACAGAAGTTGCAGTAGTGGTGTCTTAAGTCTGGCCATAATTAATTAATGATGAAAAAGTACAAAAGCTCAGTAAGAGATACCGGTATTCAGGCCTTAGCCATCTCTCCCCTTCTGAAAGTAGCCAGGTGATCTTCTCACAAGTAGTCATTATTTCTCCCAAGGATGCATCTACCATGGTCTTTCCAGTATCACGTGAAGAGATTCTGATTTTAGGGAGGCACAAATTGAGGAAAAAGGGATCTTTAAGCATATTTTGGAACCAAATGGATCAAGTTGGTACAATCAAATTAGTACAAAAGAAATAATCAAAATGTCATTTAATGTTCAAGCAATAATACATGGTCAGCATATAGCTATTCAGCTCCACTTTATATATACATATATATAATATTTAACTTTCTTCTTTTTTATTTTAGGGGGGCGGGAAGGCAGGGAAAGAGGAAGACTAAAAAGGAAGAAGGATATCGATGTTTAAAAAGAGATGCTGGTCCTTACTCGCATATGAGCTCTTGATGCTCAAGTATATACTTTAGAAGTATCCGCAGAAACTGACGCCTTTGCTTGAAGGTACTCTTTGCCCATATCTTCTGTGCCTTCCTTGCATGGGCTACATGCTCTTGGACCTGAGCATTGTTATTTAATCAAAATTTCAGCCAATTGTCCTCATGCATGCAAAAATAGCTTTCTGTTCACAGGCCTAGTATTGTTATTAGAAGACCACCAAGTTACAAGAAGAGAAAAACTGCATGTGTTTAAAATAAAAAGAACAGATTTGACAACAACCATTTTACGAGGAGGGTTAAGGCTATGTTATCTAACCTTCCCTTTAACCTTATAAAGGAGTTTCATTTGTTAATGTGTCATTTTTACCACATCGAAATTCTAGATTCCTCAAATATGTAATCACATTAACCTCTAGGATACAATGAGAAAAAAAATGCAGGGATACATGTACAATTATAATGAACAATAGTGAAGAAGAGCAAATAACCAATTCCACATGTCCAGAGTAGAAGTCCCATTAGCAGAACTAGTAAGCAGAATTTTTTTCCATTTTCAAAATGAACACAGTTCTGCCGAAATACCAATTCAAGTTATAGGTTACAATAACTACCGTGCTTCATAAGTAATGTGGAAATATATATCTTATATCCGCATAGCATCCAGCAATGTTTACCACCAACCTCGTGAGGTTCCAATGCTGGGAAGTACCCTAGGTATTTCATTGTTGCTGGCTCATAGCACTGTACTTTGTCAGTATGTCGCTTTGATGGTATCTGCGTTAAAATTTATAAGAAAAATATGAGCAACTGGTTCACTAGAGGTTTGCAACATAAGAATGAAACCTCATACCACAAACATAAACAAACTAAGGATGCAACTAAACCGTGATAAATTTAATCCACTTATGGCATGAATATATGAAAGTAGATAAAAACCAGATTCAAAATTTACTCAAGTTGCAGCAAGCACATCTAAAGTAGAAGAAAACGAACAGTAAACGCAAGTTTATCATACTTCGTTCAAGCTCATTAGATTCGTGAGAGCATAAATGACCTCGCATGAGGAATTCGCGTGCATTTTACATCTCTACTATAGCTTTCATTTTCTTCTCGAATATCATAACAAACACACAGACGAAAATAAAAAACGATCTGAAATTTGACTGTCTTCATTCTAAAGTTCCAGTTGAGAACAGCAAAAATTCAGAAAGGATGAGATGCGCGACGGACACTCACATAGATGAAGCTGTTCTCCTTGGTATGATTTCCATCGTCCAACACTGTCACCATGACAAACACCACTGCAGTCAACGCAAATTCACAAGCATGTGACATAAAGATCGAGATAGAAAAAGAGACTAAGAGAGTACTATCGGAAGCGTCGACGTCGATAGAAGGCACATTGGGAGGAATCAGCATAAGCAAAAATCTACAGATCGCAAAAGCGAATCCGAGGACGAGCAGAGGCCACCAGAACGCCATTTTCCGAGCTTCACTGGATTAGAGTCTCCAATTAAGCCTTGGAATCTCCGAGGATCGTAGCAGCACGTTTTCTGCTTCCTTGGTGAGCACTTCTCTCTCACTGTCGGCACTACATATATGTGTGTTCACAAATTCGAACTCCCTTCGATCGGCCTTTCTCTTTATTTATATATACTCATCGATGTAAATTTGTAATGGTTTAATTCGGTGAAACGATCGCCGATATCCAATACTGGTGTTGGGAAATGGAATATGGTCCCGCGGCCCTCCAGAGCTGTAAATACGGCGGTAAACAGGGGCTCCTTCGTCAATGTAAACTTTGCGTCTGGCGAACGAATCGGGTCGGGTGTAAGTCTTGACTATCGGGTTGTGCCGATATGGGTCAGACGATTTTTTTTTTTGTGAAATAAAAGGATCTTTTCAGGTCAATTCCAACTCTAAACTAATCTTCTTTTTTTTTTTTTGTCAAGGAGTGTGAAAATTTTTAAATTTTATTTAACAAATATACTTGTAAAAGATGAAATTTATGTTATCACCTTGTGAGACAAAGGTCATCTCGGCTAATATTTATTAATTAGGTGAATTTTTTTATTTAAATATAAGATTTTTAATAGATTGAGTTTGAATCAAATTTGATAAATTTAAATTCGACTATCCATTTTTATATCTAGATCTATTTTAAAATTTTATAAGATTTATATATATTAAACTATATTTAAATTTGATGGATAATTTAAAATTAGATAAAAAAAATTGATTCAACCAAAAAAAATTTATGCTCAGTTGTACTTAAGTTTTTCAACTCTATTCTATCAATCATATCGATCCCTACATATTCTGATTTTCTCAATTTAGTACTTGCAAATTTGAATTTATTAAATATTATATATATAAGATTACTAATTTGATAAAAAAAATATTATTAAAATTCAAATTCAGATTTTCAACATATATAATTGCTTAATTTCATATCCGATTTATTTATTTCGAATTATAAATATTTATAATTTGCTATATTCTAACAAATATTTTAATAAAATCTAAATTCTAAATTTTAGATCGAATTTAAATAAGATTTAGATTAAAAGTTAACATATTAACAACTTTATTTAAGTATATACTATTTGGCATTTTGAGGTATTTCAATTCATTATTACATATTAATATCGGATTTGAATCAATTTCGATCATACAAATTTTCATTTCATATATGTTACAATGTAACTTTAAGATATTTCTATTCAATTTTTATAAATTGAATCGGATTTGTGTCAATTTGAAAAAGAAATTTTTTTCATTTTATTTGTACTATTTTAGTATTTTGAGATATTGTGATAATTTAATACATTAAAATAATTAATTAATTAAAATATATGGTACTATATATACAAAAGTAACAAAAAGAAATTATTAGTCTCTAATTAGATAACAAAAAATATTTAAAATATTACTCAATATTTTTTTTTTTACAAAGTGGGACTTAGTTCAACCTAATAGAAGTGTCATGGATGCAACAACAATTTTTCAAGAGAGGAAAATTTTAAAGAGTAGAAATCTTGATTTGGGATGCCACCAAGGATTTTTCTATAACCCTTTTTTTAATTTTTCTAAATTAATAATTTATGAATGTATGCATTTTCTTTCCCCCCCCCCCCCCCCAAAAAAAAAAGATCAATTTCTTGGTGGATTGTACTCCTAATTTCCTAATTTTTACCCACTAGTATGAAAATGAAAGGGTAAGATTTAAGATTTCTCTTTGTAGTCTACCAAGAAAATGAGATGAAAGTAAATAATTTTTTTAAATCAATACTTTCTGGCAGTATTATCTATTAAAAAATTGCAGAAATAAAAACCTTCGTCTCCTTTTTTTTCTCCTTACCTTTACACAATTCTAAAATCAGCTTCTTTGGGACTCAATTCTTTTCTTATTTCATTGCCCAACTGAGTGCCTTCTTGCTGCTGATTCTTTGACGGTCTCCTTGTTAGAAAAGTTTAAAAAGTCAGCTTCCACTTAAAGCTTTTGGTTGGTTACTAAAGAAATCCATCCCTACTCACCAATTTCTTCATATAAGGATTTTAATTTTTAATAAAATAAAAATTTTAGAAAACTTTGTTTTGAATCCTGAAAAAAAAAAAAAAAAAAAAAAAAAAAAACCCAAGTATTAAATTCTCGAAACTGATAGTTTGGAGTTTCAGAAAACAAAAAAGTAGAAATTTAAAGATGATAAATATTCTTAAAAGTTTAAGAATTAAATCCTGAACTTTTCAACATCCTAAATTTTCCATGAGCATAAAACTCAAAAATTCAGAATCTTTTAGATGCCAAACAGCCCCTAAACTCACCAGCATTGTTCTTACATTGCAACCTTGAAGACTCTCTTTCCCCTTAATCAGGCCTCACACAAGAAGAAATTGGAATTCCCCGTGTGTAGAAATCAATGTTTCTATCTAAAATAATTAACTGAGGATTAAATATCACATTTTTGAAATTTGTGACTAATTGTTACAAAAATAAAACTACAGGAACCAAAATGAAAATCCATTGAAATTAACAAGAGTAAAAGTGTAATTTATTCTTTGTGCAATTGTGCACGTATGTTCTTGAATTTTCTGAGAAGCACCAGCTCATCTTTACTTTGGAACAATGCCTTGCTTTCTCTTGAAGTTTATTATAGTTCTTTTCAAACTGCCTTGCTCTGTTTTGTATTTATTCATTTATTTTGGGGTTCAGTCTGCATGGGTTTATACTTTTCTCGCACCAAACTCACCAAGTCACAGAAGATGCCAACTTAAACTTTTCTGGGTTTGTCAGAATTGTGAGGAACTTGTGCTTTGTGTGCATTTAGTTGCATTACTTCTCCCTCTGCCCACAACTCAAGTGCTCAGACATGAATTCTGCTTCTCATGTTGCAAAAATGCGCAAGTTCTTTGAATGATCAATCCTGAATAGGTAAGTTTTTCCCATTTCTATGTTTTTTTACTTTGATTTTTTTGCCATCTGAATCTCAAATCTGATTTTTAGATCCTCAATGTTCACCTTGCCGTATTCTTATTGCTATATTTGGAACCTAAATTGAATAAAAATGAAGAAAAAAAAGTAATTATGCAATTTTTGATTGGTAAAAACTAATAAGTAATTTGGTTATCTACTTCATTTTTATTTTTCTGGGTTTCTTTTACTTCCAAAAATTTGGGTTTTGGACATGGCAAAAATGGCTTCAACAAGCAGAGGCAGGGATGTTTGATTTCTGAGATTTTGTAGGCAATAATTTTTTCTTGTGATTGAATGAAAAAATTCTACTTTTTCTGTAATTTGCTTCAAAGCTTCTGAAGCAACTGAAGCCAGCTTCTCTCACGTAAGAATACCCCCATAGATCAGTAATACCTCATTCTTTCGACCAGCTACCTTGTCAATAGTTGGACCTTGAATGCTGTTTGTTTTCCTAGGAAAATGGTTTCTTTCCTCCTCGAAACTGTTATATACAGAAACCTACAAATCTATACTTTCTAAGCCTTTTCCCTTTCCTTTTTCTGTTTATAATAATGCGGAGAGGGGGGGGGGGGGGGGGACAGGGAGAGTCCTGAGAGTTATTATTTAACTCTTTCTAATGACTAATGGTAGCCAATAACTTCCTTACAGAAAAGTCTAGGCAAAGCCAAATGAGTTGTGAAATTTTAGTTTTCTTCTTGTTTCGTAGCATCTCAGTACTCAATTTAGTAAGAAAAACCAAAATTGACTCTTATGGCCATAAAGCACTCAATTGGAAAGCACAATAAGAAGCTTACAAGCATTCATTCCACAACAAAAGGAGGTTTTGTTAGAAATTCTTGTTCTTCCAATAATAGTTTCATGCGATGCAAGAATGATTCCTCTGCAGGGTTTTATTAACCATTCTCAGCAGGGATCAAGACAGAGGAAACAACTGAAAGAAGAAAAGGTAAAAGATGGCAAGGAGCAGCAGATCAAGTGCAGAAGAAAATTATGTGTTAGTCGAAATCAAACAAGAGCAACTTGTACTCACCATAAAAGAAAAAATGGAAAGTACTTCCACCTCTCAGTCCATATGCCGAGTTCGGGAGATGTTGCCCCAGGAAAGGAGCAGCCAATACTCCCCCAAAGTGGTCTCCATCGGCCCCCTCTGCCACGATGAACAATGTGGCCTAGAAGACGCCGAGAAGCACAAATGGCTCTACCTCAATTCCCTTCTCACCCGAAAACCCAACTTGGAGGAAAGCTTAGAAAAATGTGTCGAGGCACTAAGAGAGCTAGAGGTGAAGGTGAGGAGTGTTCAACTCAACTCAATTCAACTCTTCTAATCCATCTCCATTCTGCTTTTTCAAAGTTTCAGTTGGATTACAGTTAATCATGTCTTTCTTTATTCCCTCTGCCCAAGGTGAGGAATTGCTATGGCGGTCAAATTCATCTTACAGCCGACGAATTGGTGAAGATGATGCTTGTGGATGGCTGCTTCATAATCGAGCTCCTTTTCAAGTCCAATGTGAAGAGCCTCAGGCGAAGGGATGACTATTTTTTCGGATCAAAGGAGAGATTTGCCCAGTTGAGGCGTGACTTGATATTGCTCGATAACCAAATCCCTTTCTTTGTTTTGGAGCGGCTCTTTGGCCTTGTCCAGGTGCCTAAGCAGTGCACGACGAGCCTTCCCGATATGGTCTTGACCTTCTTCAAAAGAATGGTCCCACCAGAGGTCCAAACCTTTCAAGGAAGATTAGGCCAAGAGTTCAAACACATTCTGGACTTAATCCACCACTGCTTTCTCCCATCAATTCAAGAGCCAGAGTGTCAAGAAGAAACATCAACTAATAAGGAAGATACTACTAAATCTGCCACAACACTTAAGCGAGATGGGATTCAGTTCACAAAAGTCACTGCTGAGAGCTTACTGGACATAAAGTTCTCGTCCTCCCGAGGTGTGCTCCAAATCCCACCTCTCAAATTCCATGACTTCACTGAATTTGTGCTCACAAACCTTATTGCACTT